CTAGCAATAGGAGGAAGCCTGTTTGCAGAGACAGTATGGGCAGTTTTACTCGGGATTGAGGCTAGCAATAGGAGGAAGCCTGTTTGCAGAGACAAAGTATGGGCAGTTTTGCAACCCCGTGGTTCTCTCCTCGGCTTATTTCCTTGCATAAGACGCCCTTCAGTTTTTAGCGTAAGGATTTTTATTGTCTTATAGTCGGAAAAATATGGTAAATTAGCTTTTGTTAATAAGTCCTATTAACCTCTTTCTGTGAGTGGATGTGTGCCTTCAAGTTGGTCTTGGTTCCTGGCAACTACACAAACAAGTCCCCGCAGTTTTCTTGGCAACATTTTTCAGAAATGGTTTGCCATTGCCTCCTTCCTAGGGCAGAGAGAGAATGACTGGCCTAAAGTCAACCAACTGCCTTCCATGTCTAAGGTAGGAATAGAATTCAGGTTTCCCCACTGCTAACCTCTTATTTTACCGTTCTTAAGAAAAATAAACCAACCATTTCCCCCCATCTACTCTAAATTATTAAAAATCCACATAGGTGATAAAATTAAAAAATATTGTACTTTGTGGATACTCAGTGATTATTTTTAAAAGTAGCTTGTTGCCATCTACTGGACAGTAAGGTTTAGGAATTTCAGGTTTAAGGAATTACAAGAGGAGTTTGTGGCTTTGTTCTTGAGGATAAATGTGAGATATGTTTCCCATTAAAATTCTTCATTTCTGTAGTTGGCTATAACAAAATAGTTCACTCTAGATTTCTAAAATAGACATTTCTATTTACAGTCACTGTGGTAAGTAACTGTCAGGCAAGGCATTAGCTTTGTTGATGCTCTCCTGTCTGCCAGTGCAAGCTTATGAACTCATAATTTTTTTCTTAGGAGCATATTACTGAAGAACTTGCATTTTACTTCACTATTGCAAGGCATCCCAATGAATAATATAACCAAATAAGTAAAGTAACACAAAATGAGTTTAAAATAATGGGCTGTTCTATAATAATAATCTGGAAATTCAGTAATATTAATCTGTGAACATTTTGCTTCTTTAACACTGGATGAAGTTCAGAAGATTGGTGAAAATAGAAATTAAGAGAATCAGAAACGATCACTTAAAATGATTCTGTTTGTAGCATGAAGATATCATATGTGAATGTTTAATCATAAAAGATGTTCACATGATTAAATAAAGCCTATAACAACAAAAAATATTATACAGGTAGTCCCCAGTTTAAGAATGAGTTCCATTCCCAAGATCTTCCTTAAATCAAATTTGTATGTAAGCCAGAACAGTATTATTGCATAATACTGTATAAGTAGTATTGTGTAATAACTCAAACCATTGTGTATTAACTCGGACCATTGTATATTTAACTAAAATTTTGCTACAATAGGCTCTGTTCTTAACTATGGGTTGTCCGTAAACCAGGCATTCTTAACCTGGGGACTACCTGTAATCACATATAGCAGAATCTAGACTTACTTTCTTATAGATTTTATTTGTCATGTTTATATGGCCACCCACCTCACAATCAAGTGACTCTGGGTGGTGTACAAGCAAAGTTAAAAACAATGCATACAAATTAATATTAATATTAAACTTTGAAATTATAAAAGGCACACAACTAAAATAGAATAAAAAAGGGATTAGATGAAAAGCAGGCGTTATTTACACGGGAGCCATCTCAATTTTTCACCAGTCCCCTGGGACCCCAGGCCTGATGACACAACCAGTCTTGAGGGACTCCCAGAAAGTTAAAAGGGATGCTTCGGGGGGATGTTCCATAAAGCAGAGGCCTGTCAGGCCTAGCCCAAGGAACTCCAAGAGACAATGCCAATTCAGTCCAGCTATGTTTATTAGCTTGTAACATTCACGCAGTTACAGCGGGCCTCTCACGAGTGAGGGGAAAGAAGACACCAAACTGATTCTCCTTCG